GGGGGAGGGGGGTGGGATTGGTGATGGGGTGCTTGTTGTATGTTCTGGTGAGCGGTAAGTAGTGGTGCTTGTGGGGTTTTTTTCTCTCTCGCGCGCGTTGTTTAGTATGGAAGTGCGTATGTGTGTGTGTTGTTTGGGTGGGTAGGAATGTGGAGGGTGGAGGGAAGAGAGGTGGAGATGAAAGTGGGTAAGGTGATGGCGTGGCGCGTACGTATGTGAGATAACCTGTCATGTCCGCGGTCCCGAGAAAAGTAAATACTTTGGGGAGATTGGCGGAATATCTAGGACCTCTGCTGTGTTTTTTTTCTCTTTCGCTTTTTCATGTCAAACTTCGCTAAAAAAAATTGTGTATCTATGTACATGCGTACTTCCGACACACAGCAACCGTAGCTTTTACCCAAAGTTACACCTGCGGTTACCCAGTGTTTGTGTGGGCGGGAGCGGGGAAAAGCAGATATAGAGTTTACATACGGGCGGCTGAGTCGTCACGACAACCCTTGCCTTCCGGTATCTTGGGCAAGGTCAAACCTACGCGCACATTCTACTTACCTGGTAGACCCTAAGCGTCCGTGGACTTGAAACAAATGGGTTCTTGGAGGGGCTTGGAGAAACGGCACGAGATGTCTGGTCACGGCATACGTAGTGTACCGTAATACCTTTGCCGGTCAAAGTCCGTTGTGGCGAGGAATGAGGAGGAGAGTTCGATCCGAACATCCCCCTTCTTGCTTCCGTCTTGCTGATTGTCTTTCGCGCAGATCGATATTACAAGGATGCACGTGCAGACATCCCGCATTCTGTTGACCTTATTCAGCTGAGCTGTTTGTTCACTTCTAAATCTCGATGTTAACGAGACGTATGGCGACATGCAGCATGGACGATGCAACCACTCCGTACGGACGTATGAACCTTGCTCTTCGCATGGAGCCAGGGCGAACAACATCAGGTAGCAAGTCCGTGGTTAAATTTCCATGCCATTACATGGTGTAAATATTGCAGTTCACGAAAGAGAATTCAATATTCAATCAGATATATGTTATCTGCATTGCATTCCAGGTTGCAGCCATGCCACTCGCGACCTTGTGATATGCGTTGAAGTGCAATAACCGGCCTCGCTCGCCGGCTAATTTACCCCAACTGTGCTCTTCCACGTGGTCGCCTTCCTTCTTAGTCGCGTGCGCAGGTAATCTTCGCTGTTTCGATTAGGATTCCAGGTGTACAGTAGTGGTTCGGTTAATGTGGCACAGGGTCTTACCAGGATAATGTTGGGACTATTGATGTTCCTGCTGGAACCTGGTATGTATAGAAGGATTCGCTAAGGTATAGACAGGCGTAGGTACTCAACCGTATGCATGGCATGCTACTACCGGCAGATAATCTGGGGGCTAGACCGTGGGAGTTGTTGTTTACAACAGCAACATTCAAGTGACGTAGGCCTCTCGGTACAGAAAAAAAGTAGAGGTTGGGTGGCATGTGAAAAGTTGCGCTATGGCACTGAACACCCTGCCATACGCAATCTCCAAACTAACAAACTCGGAGGGTTCAAACTGCTTCAGGACTTTGCTGCGTGGCTGCATCTTCCATCTCAAACCTCTTTTGGATTCCTTCCCACCCTTTCCTAACTACATCTGCCATAGCCTCACCCATCATGTGGCCTTGGCCCAACTTCTTTATCGCATCTTCTACACTGCATAACTCACTCTTAAACTGCCTCTCCATATTATCCACGCCCGTGCCCTCGTGATGTCTAGGCTCGTACCCCTGTGGCTCCATCGCAATCCTCTCCCTCAACGAGAGATTCTGCGGATAGCGCGGTGGAAGTTTATACGGCGATCCTGGTTCTGTTTCGAGGTCTCCCTCGAGCGACGGTGGCAGCGTCTCCGCAATGTACCAATAAACCACGTACTGATACTCTCGCAACGGCATCAACTGTAACAGAACGGGCTCGGCGGTATGCGTCGCAGCGTGGACACGTGGATGAGCTTGGGGTTGGCAATGCCGTGTTGGCAGTGGGAGAAGCCGGTTTCGATACCCTGACTTTGTATATTGCATACTGCATTAGCTCTTGCAAAAATCATCTCTAAACTCTTTTTTTTTCGGAAAAGTCTTGAGAGACTTGTTTTGGGACCCACCTCTTCATACCCCTCTCGCTCTGCGCCTGTGCCGCTTTCTTCGCCTGCATCCCGTCGTCCTTTGGGCAGGAAATATACTTTGCGCCCGTGTTGCTCGTAGCTGCATAGTATCACGCGCCCGGTTGCGAGATGGAAGATGGCTACTCCCCCGCCAACCATGAACTTTGCGCTATCAAATTGCGCAGTCAGCGGATGAGTTGTATACATGGCACTGTTTCTTCTTGACATGGTTCTGGTGATCGTGATGGTGAAATTTGTGCGATTGCTATAGGGTGCAAGTAACGTAGGAATCGGGAACGGCAAATGTGAAGGAGCACAGTTTAGGTAATGGCAGTGCCGGTGGAGAGGAAGCACAAAATCAGGCTTCTGCCTAATCGTAAGGAAGCCATGATGCGAGGCAGTGGGTGCTGGAACGATGCGTGTGTGGTCGAATTAGAGAGGAAGAGTATAGTGGGGCGGATGACGTTGAGTGCATGCCCCGCCAGTTCAGCGTTACGGAGTTTTTTTGGATAGCCTATATAAACGATGATATTTCCAAAACCTCCATCAATAAAACAACTGGCCTAATGGCCCAATGGCAAGGCGCTTGACTACGATTCAGTTCGATATCAAGAGATTCCAGGTTCGACCCCTGGTTAGGTCACACAATTAGTTTTTTTTGCGTTCACATCTCCAAGGCTTCTAGTGTGCTGCCAAATTTTTTTGGCCTTGTTTTGCCGGGATCATCGTAACGGCTGAACCTAATGCCATAGCGAGATTCATGTCATTTGAGCAAATATCAAGACACGAAGTTTTCCTATTTGGAGAAACTTTCCAACATTAATTTTAGCGTATTAAACATGGCATGCCATGCGTTCAAAGCCTTCTCCACAAATTCTAAATGGATCGTTGAGCTCGTATCTCGAGCTGGACGAACATGGACTGAGCAAATATACACCAAAGTATCATGCTAGAATTATGTATTACAAACTCTACAAAAGCGCAATGCCAGTCAAATCTCCTAGCTCAGGGAACAATACCTTCTTCTTTCGTGTCTGAAGATCAACCGCATACACGCCGCCCGCAAGGTCACTTACATACACAATGCCCTTCTCTAGGTCTAATGTAAGCCCAATGGTCTCATGAAATCGGCTCGCGAGGATTTCAATTTCCCCAATTGGCTCATCGCCGCCTCCAACAAACGCTCTGTTCAACGTGTTACCCCTAGGCGGATCCCCACGGTCTGTCCAGTACAACACGGCATTCTCCTCATCCAGCTCTAGATCAATCGGCTCGGGTAGGTTCTCAAAAACCTTCTCGCGCACCTCCGTGTTATCGATGCGTGCGCGGTAGATGGCACCGGCATTTCCCTTTGACGCGCCCTTTTGTGTCCAGTAGAACCAACCCCTGCGTTCGTCGACAGCAATGCCAACACACCAGTTCCGCGTATCTGCTGCATCTGATGCGATATATGGATCGCCTGTCGATATGAGTACTTCAGGCTCCTCTGTTGCCAGTGGCATACGCATGACCTTCATGCCTTCACGGTCGCACCAATAAAGCGTGCGATTTTCCTTTGCGAGAGTGATTTGCTTGGGTGTCCAGACACCTTTTGTGCCAGTAGGGACGATGGTCCGGCGGTTGGAACCGTCGATTGAGGCTGTCTCTATACTGCCTGTGTTGGTGGAGAGCGCACTGCCCATGTTGGTCCACCACATAATGCCATTATTGCGATCGATGGTCACGCCGTCTGGTAATGTGGGGAGCGGCGAGACAACTGGCTGCAAATCGCTGCCATCTGTGTTGCAAGAGACGATGCAGCCGCCAGTGAAGTTGGGTGAGGAGAGTGATGCGTCGAGGATGTAGAGACGCTGTTTCGATGGAGCTTGCTGGGGCAGCTCAGTGACTGAGGGCATAATGTGCGGTGTAGAATGTCCCAATATAATGCTTTGATATGATATGATTTATGCAGTGAAAATAAATTTGAAGTTATTCAAGAAGATTAAGAGTTGGCAAATTTTCGTGAGGTACTAGTCTTCCACTTCCCAGATCCTCAACCTCCTATATACATACATACCAGCACCACTCCAGTTACCACTACAAACCTATTCGGGCCAAACTCGGATCCATCATACACTGACTCCATACGCGTATTTCATGCCCATCCCAATTTTCGTGCACGTTCGCAAAGTCGGGCGTGCTAGTTTGCTCGGCCGAACTTGTGCGTACGCCGTTACGGTAAACTTGCAATTTCTCCAGGAAGATATCTCAAGGGAGCTGGGATGTCCACATCAACCTGTGACGTCAAATTCAGATTGAGTTTTGTAGATCATTTAGCGAGGCGAAGAGGATGTATGTGTAGTATGTAGAAAGCGACAATTTGACCGAGGGGTTCAACGCCATTGCGTAGCCCCTGGTCTGCAGCGCCACGTGGGATGACGTCATTATCTTCAAAGGATAGCCTTAGATGGAAAAGTATATTCGAAATAGATTTTGACGTGCGGAGTTCATTGTAATGTTCTGAGTATATGACAGTCGATACACTGCAGATATTGACTTTATTATAATCGGCACGATAGAAATTGCAAAGTAAGTACATTCTAAAGGGTATCAGTCTATCTTCTCCAAGTTTTACATTCTACCAGTTCTTCCTCTCTTCTGCGTAACCATCCCACTCATTCCTCAAATTAAGCAGCCTAACCAACTCCGAATCCCGCTGTGTAACTAAGTCATCAAATTTCCTCTCATCAACTGCTTCTATCGTGCCCTGAACCCACTTCTTCCTCAGATCATCATCTAGGACAGGATCCTTTTGTGCCCACCATGTAGTCAGCGGTCCTAAAAGATGATTTGCCATATGCTGTGCACCCTGCTCGCCGCCTGCCAGATGAAATAGCGCATTAGGACCCATGATACCCCAGCGTAGCCCTGGTCCGTACGCCATGACATCATCAATGTCCGAGATGCTGCAGATGTCATTTTGCACCATGTGCAGCATCTCGCGCATCAATGCTGCTTGTAGTCGGTTTGCGATGTGTCCAACCACTTCCTTCTTGACGTGCACGGCTTTCTTGCCAATGGCTGTGTAAAACGCCATTGTGCGCTCAATCGTTTCTGGTGCGGTCTGCTCGCCGCCAACGACTTCTACGAGCGGGATCAAATGCGGTGGATTGAAGGGATGCCCGATCACGATACGCTCTGGGTGTGTATTCGCACCCATACCGGATTGGATGGATGTGCAAGTCAGGCCGCTTGACGAGGTGGCGATGATGGTATCATGGCGCACGAGGGCGGCCATGTTGTTGAATAGTTGCTGCTTGAGATCGAGACGCTCCGGCCCGTTCTCTTGCACAAAGTCGGCATCTTTGAGGGCTATAGCGAGGTCGGTGGTGAAAGTGATATCCTCGGGAGACGTATTAGGGTTCTTGAGTAATCCCAGAGATTTCAGCACAGGGAGTGCGTTTTTGACAAGCTTTCGCAGCGTTGCTTCAGCGGCTGGGTTTATGTCAAAGGCCGTCACTTTGAGGCCCTGTGCGAGGAAGAGAGCAGCCCATGATGCTCCAATTGAGCCACTGCCGATGACAGTGATGTGCTGAACTGGCACTGAAGTTGTTGAGTGTGGCATTATAAATCGGAGATTTGAAAATGGATTGCTTGAAAATACTCTATGAAAAGCAACGTGTTCCCATCTTGGACATATAAGTTTCTACTACATGCAAGCATCCCGTTGCAACTCTCTGTGCTGTCAAGAGGTGTTCGCACGAGAGACCATAACACCGATTGATCACCGAATGATGTCAGACCGCCGATGTGATCGCCAATTGACCGGACCGGTCCGATATTCAGGGACCCCGTTCCTCCATCAGATCTGAAAAATATCTTCCACAGCATTCAAAGATATGATGCAAGCTCGCAGAAGTCACGCCCGTGCAAGGAAAAGCGGCGCGCGGGAGATCTCGGCCAACTTACCACTTACATAGCAAACGTGGAATAGCGCGGCACAGCTCATAGCCCTGCACGGATGATGGTATTCGTACGAGGACGAGCGAGGTAATGATGAAGTATGTCCGAACTATCTCCTTCTTTACTGCATCGGAGGCACGTATGCGTAGACTCTGAAAGAGCCTGTAATCCAAGAACCTGGTGAGAAAACTTCAAGATAGGTGATATAAGAGAGAGGCATCGCGCAAGTAGAATAGCATTTACTCATCATCTTCCACAACTCCATCAAAACACTTCATCACACAGTTCCATTTACTCATTATACCCTAATCTATTCTACTTCTAATCTCATTCGTCCACCCATCATGGTCTCTTCAGATCGTATCCCAGATGTTTATGGCCCTGGAACCTACACAGACAAGACCTTTGTTCCCGTCCCGCAAGATACCGCACGCATCTTCCGTCAGCTCGCATCGCAAACACCTGGCTTCACTCAAGATGAAAGTGTTCTCTCAAAAGTGAAGTTCACTGGTGAGGAGTATCCTGTCATCCCAGGACCCATCAAGGCAACATCCGTTGCCGCTGCCCTGCATGCTATGTGTGGTGTCCTTGGAGATGAGATACTCGCAATAAGAGGTGCCAAAGACGATAAGCGTGAGATCACTGTGAACACTACACACGCTGCGATGTGGTTTGGCTGCATTGCAACGGCGTTTCTCAACGGAGAAGACGTGTTGAGCATGTCAGCACAGAAGAAGCTTGGTGAATTGCTTCCGGACTGGGAGCAGGGCTGGACAGACACACCACTCAAGTACCGTGCAACCGCCCTATATCCTACCAAAGATCCTGAGACATGGTACTCGCTTCATGGAAGTATGAATGCTCCTCCGACCCTCAAGATGATCGGCATCGACCCCAGCACTCCAGTCTCGTCAAATGAGGAAGCTGCAGCGCTCATTGCGGAACATACCAAGCAATTTAGTCCTGCAGAACTCGAGCTCAAGAACTTAATGAACGGTCTCTGTGGCTCCATCTGCTTCACACCCCAACAATGGAACGAGTCGACAATGGGCAAGTCACTAGCTGCACACCCACTCGTCAATGTCAAGCAGCAGAAACAAGCTATCTCTACCCCACCCATCAGCTTCCCACCTCTTAGCCCTCAAGACCGCAGGCCCCTCGCTGGTGTCAAAATTGTCGAACTCACCCGTGTCATCGCTGGCCCAGAAGTCGGTACCATCCTTGCAGCATTCGGTGCGGACGTCATCCGCCTCAACCCGCCTCATCTCCCTGACATCAACATCATGCAACTCACGCTCAACGCTGGAAAGCGTACTTCAACCGTCGACCTTCGCAAAGAGTCTGACAGGACATATCTGCAATCCCTCCTCGCAGACGCCGACGTCTTCATCCAAGGCTTCCGCATGGGCAAAATGGCCAAGTACGGTCTAGGTCTCGACGACATGCTCGAGATGGCCGGTAAGAGAGGCAGGGGCATCGTGTACGTATCTGAGAACTGCTACGGGCCAGACGGGTACTACAAGGAGCGTCCTGGCTGGCAGCAAATTGCTGATGCTGCGGCTGGTTCCGCATACGTAACTGGTAAGGCACTGGAAGTCACACAGCAGCTTCCGAAGAATGAGGCTGTGCTGCCTAGTCTGCCTATTTCAGATATGTCAACTGGAGTCCTTGGAGCCGTAGGCGCTATGCAGGCTCTACGCGATCGTGCGATTAAGGGAGGAAGCTATCAGGTCCACTCTTCGCTTGTTGGTGTAAATGCGTATGCGCTGCGTGAAGATGTTGGATTGTATCCGCTTGAGACTGTAAAAGAGTGCCAGGAGAGGTTTCAGTGGGGCGATATGCGCGGAAGTCATCATGTGCTTGACTTGCTCGTAACAGTCTACAAGGGCTGGAAGAAGGTTATCGGGCAGTACCTGGAGGAGAACTGTGGATGGTACCAGAGTTTCGAGAACAGCGCATTTGGCAGTAAGAAGTTGAGTATCTTGAAGCCTGTGCCTCAAATCAAGGGTGCTGAGGGTGCGGCTTGGAGTACTCCAAGCGTACCGTATGGCATGGAGAAGTTGGAGGAATTGAAATGGTCCTCTTAAGTCGTAAATAGTCGATCTTTTCTTTTCAGTTTTAGATACCAAATCCAATACATCCCACACTTTCACACCACCTCCTTCTCCTCAAAATCATACCCATAAACAATCGCATCCACCTTCCTCCCTGGAAAACTCTTCAAAATACCACACTTCTTCACCCGCCCAATCCTCTCAAACCCTAGTGAATCCCAAATCTTACACGACGCAACATTCGTCTCGTACACTAGATTAAACACCGAATACGTGAATCCCTAGTATCACCTGTCAGCTCAAAACTTCATCATCATCATCATCAACTACACAACACCCGCAACTTACTAATCGGGGCGCCCACTCCAAATATGCCCTCCCCAACGCCTTCCCAACGCCCAAATTCCTCTTCTTCCCATTCACCAAAAACCCTCCATTGCAAACATGACTACTCCTCCCCGGATAATTCGGCTTGACATAGAAACTCCCCATACACTTATCCTCCCAATCCACCCCCTCCATCTGCGCTACACTTTCCACACTCAATCCCTCGCCAAGCACCATGACGGCGGCAAAAGTGCTGAACCAGTAGGGACCAAAGGCTTCAAGAGGTAAAGGGTCCAGCATCGGGTAGGTGTCGCCAGCGGCGATTTCGAGGGCGAGTTGGGTGCAGAGGAAGGAGATGAGGGAGGGGGGGACTTGAGAGGGCGAGGCAAAGGGGAGGATGGTGGCGCGGGTGGTTCCGTCGCGGAGGGTGATGGTGGTGGGGGTGAAGGAGGGGATTGGGGTTGTGCGCTTGATTGGGGGGGATGTGGGGTCGTCGAGCATTGCGGGCATGGTTGCGGTTGGTGGTGGGTGGGTTTGATAGGGGATGTGGTGTATGCAAGGTCAGATGGGACTGGAAATTGGTGTTGTTATCTCTTAGGTTTGAGTTTGGATATACGTTGTGAGTAGAATGTCGTTCTCTAAATACTCAAGATTCGATGACTCGTAGGCACTATGCCTAAATGGGTGGGTTTTACGATTCATTGTCCGCCGGTTGTCACTGCGTGATGAGATCGCAGGAGTTTCTTTACATTTTGGGTTGTTAAATGCGATTTGGGCTTCTTGTTTGGTAACTCCGCTTGTTATTTGGATTGCTTTTGAAATTGAGTGCCATTGCGCAATGGCGGGGGTTGATCATGAACGTAGTTCCCGCCTTGTATTTTTTTGCTAATAGGCTGGTCTTGAAGAAGTAAACGTATGTAGGAAGCTAGCCGTGAAGTTTTGAATAATAAGAATATTTCACAATGTGGCAATGGAAATGCATGTGTATTACAGGAATGTAAGAGAAGGGCTGGGATACGGGCTCATATAGGCAAGTTGGCCAAGCATGCAGTACAAGCGTGCTTATGGTACTTGTGTACCAAAACCTTGTCCATAACTGCAAGTCCTATTTGCCTATGCGCCTGTTGTGTAAGCTTTTACTTCTGCTTGCTGTGCGCACATGTGTGAATCATGCAAGTCTACGCAGGCCATAGAGGCGGTTTCCAATGCGACGTCATCAAAACATTGATGTCGCCTCTTCAGGAATATCATGGTGAGTAATTCTTCTCTCCCAAGAGAAAGAAGACGCAAGTTTCCCTCGATCTTCAGAATAAAACTTGAAGCTATAGAATAGCTATGGGATAGGATTTTGTGCGGCTTTCCAACGGCTTTCGACGGGATCAGCAATATACCCGGGGTTGAGGGGGAGTTGCATACCCGGCCTGGCTTGCTCCTTGGCGATGCGTCTAGATCAGGAAGCTGGGGGTACATAAGTATACAAACGCCTGGGCATCGTCTTGGCTAACGGGCGAAGAACGCTCCACCTACTGAATATGATGGCAGTGATGCAAGTAAACACGGCAATGTTGTGCGAGCTAGTATGCCAGTTCCATGGCGACATTCCATCATTGCACCGAGCTTCCCGACACGAAGATAAGGCCATAGCAGGGGTCTAAAAACTTACTTAAGAAGTGCATGTGATGTTGTAGCAGTGTCTAGCTACTGTCTTGTCAACTTTTCAACCCTCAAAATGAGATTGTCAAAGTTGGTGTTGGCCGCTCAATTGGCAGCAGCGTCTCCTTTCGCACACGACGCTAGCTCTGTGTCTCACAGTGCCAAACCAAGCTATGATGGCTACCAAATCTACTCCATTACGCCATCTTCTGCCGAAGAAGCTCATGATATTAACAAGCGCTTCTCCAACTATCATACCCACCCGATTCGCAACACACTGTCAGTTGCGATTCCACCCGAGGAGATTGATTCTTTTCATGCACTGGGCTTGAACGCTCGCCTGGTGAACTCGGATCTGGGCAAGTACATTCGCTCCACCGACAAGGAAGCTGTATACAAGCGTGACTTGCACACAGCGGGTCAGCTCCCAGATCTATCGTGGTTCGACACTTACCATGCTTATGCCGACCACCTTCAGTACTGGGACGACCTTGTTGCAGCATTCCCTGACAACTCCGAGAAGTTTTCAATTGGCCAAAGTTACGAGAACAGGACAATCTGGGCGTTCCATTTGTTTGGTGACAAGAGCACTGAGGACGCATCGCAAGACGAAAAGCCCATTATTCTTTGGCATGCCACAGTCCACGCAAGAGAATGGATCTCCACAATGGGTGAGCAAAACAGGCATTTGGAGAACAGAACACTATCTGACACTCTCAGTCATCGAATACCTGGCATACCAGCTCATTGACGGATACCAAAAAGGCGATGCAAACGTGACTAGTTTCCTGGACCACTACGACTTCTACCTCGTCCCCTTCCACAACCCAGATGGCTTCCTATACACGCAAACCAACGACCGCCTATGGCGCAAGAACCGACAGCCCCGCCCTGAACTGAACACAACCTGTCTCGGCACCGACGGCAATCGCAACTGGAAGTTCGAATGGGACGCCACGCCCCCCGACGGTGGCTCAACACCCGACCCATGCGGTCAAACGTACCGTGGCGAAGCCGCAGGCGACACACCAGAAAACCAAGCCATGGACAGCCTCTCCGCTAAGCTTTCCAGCACAGGCGCTGGCATCCGGTCCTTCATCGACTTCCACTCGTACAGCCAGCTCATCCTTACTCCCTGGGGCTTCTCGTGCGACCCGCTCCCCGAGACGCTGCCCCGCATGCTCGAGGTAGCGGGCGGAACCGCCAGAGCTATTCAGGCGGGTAGCGCGCGAAACGTCACGTATGAGTTTGGACCTGGTTGTCAGATTCTGTACTTCTCGACGGGTAACTCGAGGGACCATCACTACGCTGTGCATGGTGCGGAGCACTCGTGGACTATGGAGTTGAGTCCTCAGGATGCGGCGGGAGGAGGGTTTGTTTTGCCGCCTGAGCTTATTTGGCCGACTGTTAAGGAGCAGTGGGCGGGCCAGTTGTGGTTGTTGAATGATGTTTGGGATAACTAGGCTTCTGGGTGTAGTGGCATGGGAATTTGTGCATTGTTGAATGGTGTATGTGTGTAGCTTGACTATGAGATAGATACCACGGAATATCCTGTGCATCAGTCGTTGAAGCGATGCAGATGTTGAAGTAATGTGTTTGTGATTGCAGTACGATCTGGAGCTTGACCTTTAAGCAGCACCTCGTCCATGTCGTCCTCGTCCTAGTGTCCTCGACCTCATATCCATATCCTTCTAATGCCCTAATGTTCTCATGTCCGCATGTCTATTTATTGTCCTCATCGTCCTCATGTCCATATCATCACTTATAACTACAGGTTGCCAGAAGCATAGGTACGACTTTCAACATTATATCTATTTGAATGCAAGACAGCAGACGGCTAGATGGCGGACAAATAGAAGGGGGACAGCTACAAAGCGGACAATTAGGGGGTGGACAGCTAGAGGGCGGACAGTTACAAAGCGGACAGCTATTTGGTGAACGGACAGCTAAGACATGGATAGCTAGGACATAGTTCAAACAGATATAGCGCCTTGATAATTATCATTCATTTCTTAGCTGTCCGCTATCTCGCATTCAAATAGATATAACGTTGAAAGTCGTACCTATGCTTCCGGTACCCTGTAGTTATAAGTGATGATGAGGACATGATAAGCGTCATGTGGCGTAAGGGAAACACCAGAATTGGACATGGGGACATTGCTCATCGAACAGAGACTATGAGCTTCATCATAATATGTGTCTGTTGTAACGATGAACGACTGGGCTCTGTGAAGGGTAGTCAGTGCAGACGGTATCAGAGCGAGGTCGAAGCTAAGATATCATCATGCATACAGTGATTTCGACGAATCCAAGGCCTGCTTAACGAGGGTCGTATGCTGAATCTAGAATCTGTGACACGACGAGTAACTGTGAGCGTGAACTATAAAGAGTTGATAGTGTACGAGGTTCCGGCGTAGCGAACGGCAAGAAACTGGTCGGATCATCAACGGCGGATTAGAGATTTGGATCTACAAGAGTAGTGACGAAAATCTTTACGGTCAGGCTCTCGTTTTTGGTGACCCACAGAGAGAGTACACATGTAAGGGCAGGTTGAGCACGTGGGTTTGCGACCGTGGAGAATCTGAGCATGAAGTATGTCCCGGTAGGTTGCCCTAGAAGAGCTAAGGAACTTGGAACACTATGTGACGGCAGTTGATTCTTTGTCAAATTCTTCTAGCGCGTGTGTACGAGCGGTGTGAAGAGTAGTTTGGAAAGAGAAAGAAGCATTGAGTCAATTATCAGTGGCAGACTCGCGTTCCAGTGCGGTCCATGGCCGGTCGAGGGCGGCGAAGGCTATGAAGGCGGGGCCCAGAGCTTTGGATATGCCTGGGTACATACGTAGGTACTAGATAGCGAGGGTCTATGACGATGCTTGGGGCTCAGCGGAGGCCCATTGTTCTGGCAGGTCAATGTCCAATGGCAAAAAGAGGGCAAAAGCAACGCAGAGAGAGACTAGTGGAAGAAAAGCAGGTATGAACACGGTGGTGTGCATAAGGGTGGGCAGAATTGCCGCCAAGGCCACATCAGACTCGGCTAGTGGTGGGGCTGGGTACACAGTATGATGGCAATCTCAAGTACCCCGCCAAAAGTTTTGCAGTGCGGCAAAAGTGAAACCCAAGCTGCCTCACTGCGCGCCCAAGGCTGGCGTCGGTTGTTGTTTTTGACGTGAAATTTTTCTTCTGTAAAGGCGAGAGAGGGAAGAATATAGAATCATGTATACTGTGAATACGTCCAAGCAATCTGACCGTGTTCAGGATGGCTGGCAGAGTGAAGTCATCCCACAGAAGGGCTGAGGGATGGGCAGTGACGATGCACTCACAGGCTCGCGTGAGGCAACTGCGGCTGTGGCGAGCCCATAGCGGGCGGTCAGCCGTACTGAAAGGGCTCGACAGCGGCTGGGGCCAATCAGGCGGGGCTGTTTTGCCTCTCTGCCTACAGATTTCGTTGCCAGTGAAGGAGTTTTCGTAGCCCAACCGGGGGCTAGCGCCGAAAACTAGCACGGACCCACCAGGCTTTCCAGCTATATTAGCAACACTTGACCCCTCCATCGTCCAATTCTTCTCTTCGTCCAACTCATACCTTACACCGCGCGCTGTAAATCTGAGTATTCAACAGCTTTTCCTCACTTCATCCAAAACAACACACTACCGCCAACATGGGGTAAGTTCTTGTCCCTCTCCTTCACCCCCACCTTGAGCCTCTCCGGCCCATCGATTGTGCCCACAGTCGCAGCTCGAGCTTGCCACTCGCCTTTGTCACTTCCAGACAACTGACAAGCCATGCAGTAAGGAAAAGATTCACATCAACGTCGTCGTCATCGGCCACGTCGACTCCGGCAAGTCGACCACCACCGGACG